ACTTAGAGGGGTGACATACGGTGCACTGCCTGCCCATGACTCCCAAGCCTACCCTGAGCCATCGGGGTAAGGGGGGAGCTGTGCCACTTTGCCGGCGGCATTCCCCCTTTCCTCCTTTGTTTTAACAGCTTGGGGGAGGCTTGGGAGTTGCGGGTGGGCGGCACGCCAAATGTCCGCCATGGATGGTTCACTCTGCCCCTGGCTGCAGGGAGCGTGCGCCACTCCTGTGGCACCCGAGCGGCTATCCCTCACCTGGGAGGGCACCTTCTGCGCCACGCCACCCCCTCGGGAGCGCGCCCGCCCTTGGCAGCGTGGCCATATGCTCCGCCGCTGATTGGAAGCATCTGCTATAAGCTAATAATAGTTTGCCATTATATCTGAATTGGACTGAAATGTTTTTAGTTTGAACTGTGGTTTGCTGAAACATGTCAAAAGCAAAACATGGTTTCTGATCCTGGTTTGTTTCAATAAACTGTAGTTTAAACTAACTGCAGTTCCAATATGGTGATAAACTACAGCTTGCTGAAATGAAGAAGTTGTTGCTTCCAATCTCTCTGTGGTTGAGCCAGAGAAAGGGGAGGGTGAGTATTTTTTTCAGTAACTGTGGCTTATTATCATGTTATGTCCAAATGAAGGCATGGTGTTGGTGGACATGACGATATAGGTTGCATCTGCAGCTTATAACAGTCTTAAGAAAGAAGGGAAATGTGTTTTGTAGACATAGACTACAATCCTATGCACATTGCTTTGAGAAAACAAAAGGACATACATACTTCAAGTAAATAAGCATAGGATTGCACTCATAACTGGTTTAAATTGTGCCCGTGGCAAAAAAAAAAAAAGGCACCAGGTTGTAGCGAGGCATGCTGGGGTGAAAGAACAATCCCCTACTCTCCTTTTGAAAATAGTTACAGTACTCATATATCTCTGTAGGACATACTGGAACACACAGGTCCTTGTAAGTCAGAGAGCAGAAGTAAAGAAATGTAGAGTTTAAAGAAGGCCTTGCAGAAGAAGTAAACTTTGAAGGGCAGCTGAAAGATCTAAGAGGTATCAAGAGTGTGTGTTCTGGGACTTCATAGCAGAACAGAATAAGTGGACTATAATAAGGAAGGAAAAAACAAAGATGAAGTGAAGAGCATTGAAGTGAAAATCTTGGCTTTATTTTTGCTGGTAAGTAAGGAAAGAGATCTGAGGATGTCCATGGAGACTTTTTATAACTGAACTTTAAAAAGAGCAGTTGAGCTTTCCCCAACATTTTGAATTTTGGCCATTCCCCACCCCCACCCCCCGCAACTGAGGCTATCAAATTAAACCTGAATATGTGAAGAGTGGTTTTCAAGGAACCATGTTCCACGCTAATTGAGGCTGTGATCCTGAGTTGGTTTTTGGCAAAGTCAACTCAATTTAACTTGGCAAGGCTTACTTCTGAGTAAACATGCTTAGAATTGCAGCGCATATAAGCCCATGTAGTCTCCCCCCCCCAACTGCTATGTGAAAAGTGTGTGGAGTCGTGGCCATTACTTTTTCTAGTAAGAGCTCACTTTGAGTATTATTCCCTCTCAAACTATTTTCGGGCTGTATTGTAGGAAACATTGGCAGCAATCAAGCTGGGAGAGAAGCAGATCATGGATCTGGATTTTGCACACCAGTGGTAGTGGCTGGTGTTGTGTGGCAATGCCACACAGCTGCTGTTTGACACTAGCATCGCCACAGATTACCAGCAAGGAGCTGGGTGGCAGCAAGGTTAGGACTGTGTAGACACACTGGCAGAGTCAGTCTGGCACCTGCACTGCTGTGCCCATACAGTGCTGGTTTCACTGCCCTTCCTGCCTCCCTGCCCCAGACCCATCCAGGTAAACTAGCAATGGCAGTGTTGGGAACTTTGCCGCACTGCGCCAGCTGTGATTAGTAGGAAAAGGAAATGACTAAAGCAAAATCTAAGGGAGCAACTCTATGATGGGGAGAATGGATTGTAGCCTGTTGGATGCCCTCTCAATGGTCACAAAAAGTGGCCCACATTCAGAGGTGGAGGTCAGTAGTTGGAAACCTTCCCAACACCATGGTAGGAAGGGCTGCCGCCATTGCTGATCCACCTTCAGCAATGAGAGCAGTAAGAGAAAAGGAGTGTGTGCTTCAGGAACAGGAAGAGGGAAACTACAACAGCCCTGGAGCTGGCATATTTATTGGGACCAGTGGGAGGGAAATTGTTTGTTCAGTTTACATCCCACCTATACTCCAAGGAGCTCAAGGATTCGTACATAATTCTTTCTCTTCTCCCTGCCATGTGAGGTAGGTTTGGCTGAGGAACCGTGACTGGTCCAAGGTCATCTAGTGAGTTTCATGGTGGAGTGGGACTAAAACTCTGGTCTCCCAGGTCCTAGTCTGACACTCTAACTGGAACACACAACACAAGGAAGGAAGGAAGGAAGGAAGGAAGGAAGGAAGGAAGGAAGGAAGGAAGGAAGGAAGGAAGGAATCCACCTTTTGTTTGGTTTCTCCACCAGAGGACCCCCCCTCCAAACTCCATAGGATTGTACATTAAATATGGTCAGAATACCTACAGACCAGCAGAATTGCTTGCTAAAGGTGTAAAGGGAACTGCTGTACTGCCAGTAACATGGATTCATGTCTTATTTTCCTTTTTTCTGCCCACTTTACCACCAATCTTGACATGATTTACATCACTTTTATTTTGCTTTAATCCTACCGAGACTGCTCTGGGACCAGATAAGCCCCCAAATTGGCTTTTCCAATGGTAATATTCCATGTTACTTGTTAAATACTGATAAGCAGTGAAAAGATATAAAATAACCAGATTGGAGAATATATTTCAATTAGTATAAATCTTGTATCTTGGAAGTTCCTCCTGCAACCCGCTCCTTGGGATGATCTGTTTATAAAATGGAATTAGATCTTCCAGTTCTAAACAAGATATGTGTAAATAAACCCTTTCAAATTCTGGCTTCTAATGAAAAAGAAGAAGAAATCTAATTTGAAGCTGCTGTAAATATTCAGTGATTAATTTCATACCAAATAAGTCATTAAAAATACCTGATAGATGGAGAAACTAATCCTTTCTGGAGAGATGGGGAAAACCAATTAAATCTGAGGTAATATGAAAGTTAAAATGAGACAGACATAAGCTTAGTTAGAAAAAAAATTTTTTGAAAGATTTTTAAACATGGCCAATTGCTTGGAGTGAATGGAATGTGCAACGTTATTTGGAAGAAGCAGAGGAGCTGTCTTATACTGAGTCAGATAATTGGTCCATTGATCCCTACGCTGTGTTGTCTATATTTACTTGCGACAGCTGTCCAGGATTTCAGACCCAGGATCTCCCAACCCTACCTGGAGATGCCAGGGATTGAACCGGGAACTGGGTGCATTCTCTGCCACTCAGCTACAGCCCTTCCACTCTGTCCTGTTACCCCTTTTAGTGCTATTCCAATGTGATCCGGAAATGAAGATTATTTTTATTTGAAATTTGCAAAACAACAGCATCATTTCCCAGATATTTGACAGGTGCTGCCAGTTTTTTAAATTTCATTTTTAACTTAAATGCCACCAATGTGCATGGTGAGCTAACCTAGACTGTTGCCCCCACCACAAGTCTAATGAAGTCAAATTTAGCCAATTGAAGTATAATGAAATCTCTCACCTGCAGCACTCAGGACAGCGGTTCTCAACCTGTGGGTCCGCAGATGTTGTTGGACTACAACTCCCATCATCCCTGAGCTCTGGCCTTGCTAGCTAGGGGTGATTAAAGTTGTAGTTCAACAACATCTGGGGACCCACAGGTTGAGAAAGGCTGACTCAGGAGCTGCTGAACTCCTCCTCCTACATCTTTTGCTCACCACCTGTGAGTCTTCAACCATCTATTGGGAGCCATGAGAAAAGTACATTTACCAGTACAACTAATTTGCTGCCGTAGGAGGCCCAAGAGAAAGGCTTTCCATGATAAACTATATTTCCCAGTGCTTCTGGCACCTGACTTGCTATCATAGCAGCACCAATGGGAGAACCTTCCTTCCTTCCTTCCTTCCTTCCTTCCTTCCTTCCTTCCTTCCTTCCTTCTCCTGCCGCCAGTGTTGCAGCAGTGGCAACAAGGTAAACAGTGCAGTTGAGCATGAGTTGGAGACTCATAGGAAGGGGAAAGCTTCTGAGTTCTTCTCCCAGTTAGAATCTAGGCCAGTTTGGGATATATTAATAGCAAATTATAAAGCCTGGCAATATAATGGCAAAAGGCTGCTGCTTCTGTGCTACAGTTGAAGAGAATGCCCCCTTGTGCTCTTTCCCAAGAAGAATATACCATACCAGCAGAAAGAGAGAGCATGGCTGCAAAGTGTGCCTTTCTGCTTGGCATAGGACACTGGCACCAGAAGTGTGTGCAAAGCTCGGCTTCTGAAAAGCTGCCCCCTGCTGCTTCTGCCCCCTGGTGCTTTCCTTCCATAAAGCTGTGAGCTCTTCCACAGCTGATGCTTCTTCTAGGCAGCCTCTTCACTGCTTCCCTCTGCACAATTCAGCAGCCATGCTGGTGGCAGCACACAGGCTATGTAATGACAGTGTCGATTGCAGCCAACTCCTTCCTATGTGTGTCGGTGGGATTTACTGACAAGACAAGCCCTCTTCAGGCATAGTACATGGTCCAAAATGTGGTGGAAAGGGGCTCAGCATTTAGCCCAACCCCTAAAGCCATTCGGCTTCTCCTGCTCCTCTGTGTTGATCAGGGCTTCTGATGTGGGAGGTTTTCTATATGCATGATTTAGAACTCTTGGCAATTAGGGTTCCCTACATGCTCCCTATATAAGTTTCCAAGTTTTATCTGGTATGCAGAATTGTTTCCACTTTTGATTCCAAATTGAGGATGGCATAAGGCTACTGTTAAAAAACAAACAAAAAACCTTAAGACAAAAGCAGCAGTGAATGGGTTTAAAGTGAATGGGGTCTCTACTATTCCTTACATTATTGATTTTCTTTTCTGGTGTTGTTCCTTGCAGAGAGTGAATCTATCGTTCGATTTTCCATTTTATGGCCATTTCCTACGTGAAATTACTGTGGCAACTGGGGGTAAGTGGCTTTCTACCCATTTCACTTTAGAATAATCTGACAAGAGTTTCAGATGTTTTAAATCAGGTTTCTTGAAAGGGGGGAGGGAGGGAGGGAGAGGGAGAGAGAGAGAGAGAGAGAGAGAGAGAGAGAATGAATGAATTATGGTAGAGCTTGAAATATCCAAAATTGGGTAGGCCAGATCACCAGTTCATTCAAATTCACCCTGTCCTCTGTGTCAGCAAACTGGTATAAATAGTGCTTACCATGGATCAGAAAATTTTATTAACATTTTAAATAAATGTCTTCCCTCTACACCTTTCCTGGCCCCTCACTATTAGATGCATGGTGGGAGAGAGGGAAAGGGAGTTGCTGACCTATAAAGGCCGTGTGGTCATATCACACACTTCATTTTTCATCATTTCATGATTTGCAACTACTGGATATAGATGATTGTTAACATGTTGAAAACTGCCTTGAGAGGTTTAACCCTAAAAGGTGGTCTATAAATATATTAAAGTGAATAGATTTAATTATAGGAAAACTTTGACCTCTTCATTCACTTTTACATATGAACAACAATCTATCAAGTCACTTAGAAATGCATCAGTTGCGCTGCTAATTGGCTAAGAGTTTGCTGTGAATGGTTGATCAATTGGCAAGTGTTTCAGTTCTGAAATGGCTGGTGCATAGGGTTAAAGTAGACATGGAACTAAGCATAGAACTCGCATTTATTTATTTTTTAAAAGAAACTATTAATTGTAGGTGCAGGATTACAATTTTCATTGGGTTCTATGCATGAGGGAGAAGATTACCCATTTGCTCCCCTGCTGCAACTAAAGAAAATCCTCCTAGGTCTTAGAAATAGGAGGGAGGTTATCATTGATGCCAAAGGGAGCTTCTTTCCTATGGCATTTAAGGGCTGCAGAGGAGAAAGCTGTTACACCCGCAGTCCCTGCAAAAACCTGTCCTCACTTGCACTTGCTAGTAACGTTCTTTGAATGACACAACAGCATGTGATTTGCTTTGAACCATGTCTAGTTTGCCTCTTTTCCCCTGCTCTCCCTTCAGGCAATGGTATTCATTTTGGGGGAGTGGGGGAGAGAACAAGTGACTATGGCTTATGTTTTGTGAAACACACACATAAAGGAAAACTCTGCTTTTAGTGCAGGCATGTCCAAAGTCCGTTTCAGGGGCCTAATCTGGCCCACCGGTTGAATTAATCTGGCCCGCGTGGCAGTAAATGGCTCAGCAACTTTGGTCAGCCCTCATGCATGTTCACTTCATCAAATCTGGCCCTCTTTGAAAAAAGTTTGGGCACCCCTGTTTTAGTGAATCAATAAGAGTGCCAGAGGAATGATGATGATGATGATGATGATGATGATGATGATGATTTAGTCACTTTACTCATAAAAATGACCCAAAATGATGTGGCATGCCAGGGGGTAAAAGAAGGAACATGCAAACCTGAGGCATCACAATGGTTTGGTCAGTGGTTGTGTGTGACAGTGTGAACCAAGTCATTGCTTGTTTTTTGAGGACTTCCAATTTTTATCATGTCAACAAAGAGTTTGTTGCTTCTTCTTTAAGGGGCTCAAACGATGCATTCTCCTTAAATATCGCAGTGCTAAATTGCAAGCAAAGAGCTCCATCATATCTATAACAGATCAAGAAAGCCAAATTTTGTTTTTGTTTTTACCATCCATACAACATTTGCATTTCACTACCAAGCAGTCTTGAATGATGATTTTTGACCCTCAATTAATTTGAGAGAGAGAGGAAAAAAGAGAGAGAAACTCACATGGGTTGGCTTGAGCAATTAGCATATCCTTTCCCTCAATCCATGTTTTACCAAGGTTACTTGATTCATGTCTGTGAGGTAAATCAGTTTGCACTGCCATTATTAGTATAATTAATCAAATCCTGTTCTTCTAGAGGTGGATATCTGTCATGGGGGAATTCCTGTGTATGCTAATTCTGGTACCTAGGAAACCACGAGAGGCCTTCCAGCTCTCTGATGATAGAAAGTCTTCCTGACAGAACATTTCAGATGTTTTCATTTAGGAGAGAAGAATATAGCATTGGCAATGGGCTTAGAAGTCAGGTGTGGGATTGGGTTGTCAGAGTGGCGGCAAAGATAATGAAAAGCAGCAAGAATATAGGGCAGTGTATAGCATGTTCACGTGCCCCCCTTTCAATAACACTTTTTAAAGCTAAATTGGACCATCAAATCTAATCTTGCATTAAACAGGAATAGCACTTTTCAAATGTAAGAGGCTAGTGAACCTAAGCAATTGTTTTGGACTTGGAGGCAGGTGTCTGAATATTGTCTTATGACAGGGACCTGTGGTTCTCCAGTAGTTGTAGGACTCCAGTACCCATCAGCCCTAGACATTATGGTAAATGGTCAGGAACGATGGGATCCTTCCCCAAACTGATACCCTCCGGATGTTTCGGCCTAAAACTCTCATCAGCCGCATGCTGGTTGGGGCAGAAGGGTATGTAGTTCAAACCATCTGAAGGGTACCAGGTTGGGGAAGTCTGGTTTAAAATGTGTACAGGGCAATTCTTTATCTGAAGATGTTGGGTTTTCACTTATTTTTATTTTTATTCTTATTATTTCTATACCTGCAGATCTCAGAGTGGTTCACAACATAAAATTGCAACCTGAAAGACACAACATGCACAATAAAAACAAAAGCAAAGGCAACCCAGTAATCCCCCTTCCCACAACACATTTTAAAGGGTGTTAGATGTCATTCAGCCAAAGGCCTGCTTAAAGAAAAGTTTTCTCCTGGCACCTAAAGATATATAATGAAGGCGCCAGACAAACTTCCCTGAGGAGGGCATTCCACAAACAGGGAGCCATTGCAGAAAAGGCCTGTTCTCATGTTGCCACCCTCTGGACCTCACATGGAAGAGGCACACGAAGAAGGCCCTCAAAGAATGATATCAGTGTCTTGGTAGGTTCATATGGAGGGAGACAGTCCTTGAGCTATTATGGTCCTGAACCTTTTTAGGGCTACCTCTAAAAATTAATTGAATCACTCTTCTTATGTTTACATATGAGAGGAAAAAACAAAACAAATGAGACTAATCTTTCATTTTACCGTTTGCATGTATATATCACAACAGGGATGATCTTAGAAGGCGCTTGTCCTATTTTCTCTCTCACAGGAGGAAATTCTTACAACAATATGGATCTTGCAAGTTGCAGTTTATATTATTATTATTCAAATGCCAGATTAATTGAGGGCACCTTTAGAGTTGATCAAAATGTTTTAGTCATCTGATTAATCACCTCAGTGTTGTAGTCGTAACTCTTTGATTAGATCCCGCAAATTGTTTTGAAACACCTTGCCTAATGTATTATCCTGCCTGCCTGATAAAGGAAAGAAGTGTTATGATATTGGCAAACCGTGGGTGGCATTTTTCTGTCATATGGGCTGAGTGTACCTCTTATGGGGGGGAAAGCACTAAGCTGGCTGGACATAATCAACAAACATTTGCAAGCCTGAAATGAACTGTCAGGAAGAATAGAGGGCTTTCCCACTTTCTATTTCATTATTAACCATTTTGCAGTCATCTTAGATCTTAAAGGTCATTTGCACTTAACAGAAAACTCTCTTCACTTATTACCTACTTTAGAAACAGAATGAAGGCTGGCCTTTCAGCAAAAGCAGATTTATCGCTGCCTCCAAGGATTATATTTAGATGCCTACATTATTGCTGTTTTCTCAACAAACACATCTGCAGCATTATTAGGTTAGGAAAAAGAGGTTGGTGGGACGGACTGCCAATATCCTGATGCAAAATGTAGCTCGTGACTTTAAGGGGGGGTACTGTATCCTTTTCCCCTTCTCCCTTGTTTCTTTTATTATAGCTTCAATCTTTGCCAAATAGCTTCTTTTGGTGATTCCTGCTCATAGCTTGTTTGTTTGTTTATAAAATTGTTTATTTATTTGATTTTTTTTTTTACATTTATATCTCACCTGTCATCCAGGAAACTCAAGGTGACTTGTAATTAAAAACAACCAAAAGCTAGAGCTATTATTATTATTAGTTTGAAATCTCTTTACATGCACTATCCAAATTATTCTGACATCACCTCTGGGAGGATAGACTTGACTCCATATTGAGATGGAGAGATGGCTTGCCTTAGCGAGACTCTGGTGCAGTTTGAACTGTGGACTCCTCGAAACCAAGCTGGATGTTTCCATAGCAGAGCTGCAGCCAAGCATTCTTTGAAAATGTTCTCTTTGGCTCTGTTGGTCAGGCTGTGAGTGCCATGGCTTATGTAGCCAAAACAGCAGTGTTCACACATAAGAAGGGATGTATCAGCAATGGTGGGGGGTTTTTTCTTGGGGGGGGTAACTGAAAGTATGCAGAAATACCAGACTTTTTTAAAAAAAGAAAAGCCATAAAAGGGACTCAAAATGAAGAATGTGCCAGTGGGCATGGAATACTGACTGTGAATGGAAATACAGGGAGGGGAAATCAAACCGGGTGGCTGCCATAATGAACAACAGCATTCTGTGCTGCCACATTTTTTTTGCAGGAATGCCTCTTATAATTCGTGGATTTCAAGACATCATGCTTTACTGAAATTCAGAAAGGGGTTTCCATTCCAGTTACTGTAAATAATTGTATGCTGACTACAGCTTTAAAAAGCATTGGAGCCTATCCCGGTCATCAGTTCTGAAAAATCCAAAAGATAGTTCATGAAGTCATTCGTGTGTCTCCTACTCAAGTTTAAGGGCTGAACTGGAAGCACCAGCCTAAATCCCTGTTTTGTGGGAAGACATATAAGCAGGCTCCAGACGAGTAGCTTCTCGATAATAAACCCCACGAGGAACCAAATAAAAGATAGTCCCTTTGTTGGGAAGTGAGCAGAGAGATTCTTAAGGAGATACTGAGCGGGAGTTCTCATTATACTGGCTACGAAAGATCCGGGGAAAACCCCTTAACCTTTTAAAGCCCTTGAGGAATGTCTTTAGTTTCTGTGCGCAATAAATACAAAA